TTTTTTTTAATAAGATTGTTTAGTCTCTTTGATTCCTTGCACATTAAAATGATCATATGCACCGTCTGGATTAAAACATAATGTCTAATTTGCCTTGTCATTCCATCTGACAGAAGTGAGGTAGTAGGATGTGCCTGCAGTTTCACAGATTRTTTTGCTTTTAAAAGTAGAAAAAAGTACGAATTGTTGTATGAGTTGAAGATCACTTTACTAACTTCTGAGACTGAGGAAAGGAGAGAGCACAGAAGTAGCAATTGCTTGGGGTACTAGCGGCTTTTAAGATCCCTTCCAGATATTTTATATTGACTCCATTTACTTTCTTACTTTAAATCTATTCTTGAATTTAGAAATTTCTGGTTGAGTTTTGCTCCTTGCATTTCAAGATGCAAACCTGAGGGGGGAGGGGGGTGTAAAAAAAGCATGAGATTGGCTTCTGCCAAAATAATTATGCACATTGAGTCACCCGTTTTATTTATACTTAACAGTGTTGAAACCCCTCGTACTGTTTATTATAGAAAACAGGAGGACACTGCCGAGGGGAAGAAATGCTGCTTTTCATACCACAACAAAGAGTGAGACACCGAAAACCAGCATCACAGCCTTAAACACAGACAAAACAAAGTCATCCAAACCAGCACTATGCAACAAAAACATTATTTAGACCAAACACCCAGCAAGAATAGCCCTCCACTTTTCCCACTGTAATCCCTTTAGTCCCCTGGTTTTAAAAAAAAACTTTCTCACTCCCTCTTACTCGCTTTTCCATAACCTTTTTCCCATATTCCRGCCCAAAAGTAAATCCTTACAGGTATTTTGAAAATGAAATGTGTCACTTTATCATAAAAATCTCAAAAATGCCCCAACAACTTCAAGAAGGATCAGACCTTCACMGTCTTTGGGCCCTTCTGCAATAAAATGGAAAGCCCTTGCTTCGACACTCGTCCTCCTTTCCCACCCCCCCCCCCCCAAAAAAAAAAACAAATCCAACCCCCTGTACCTGTCAGCATGACATC